GGTCTGCAATTACATGTAAAAATGTGGATGAATTCCACAACGACAAGTGTATAAAGTTTGTATACAGTTCAAAACTCATCAATAGTGTTTCAAGTAGGGACTGTGCTTACCCCGGGGGGATAGAAACAGTGCGGGACATGCAGGGGCTTCTAGGGGCTTGATCTGTTCTATTTCTTGATCTATGTGCTGGTGACATGGATGTGTTCACCGTGTGAAAAGCCACTGAGCTATATCCTATGATCTGTACAATTTTTTACGTGTGTGCTAAATTGCAATAAAAGTTTTTTAAAAGTGTCCTATGGACACATGAGAAAATGCATTTAATGGCATATGTGCAATTTAGCCCCTACATTATTAAGTGGCTTCTTTGAAGTAGAAGGCCTGCCTGTAACCACTAGGCCAGACATTCCTGGAGACGGGTGGTGTCCCAAGGGAGTGGCTATCAGAAACACCTGCTACTACTTCATTCTCCCTCTTTTACCAGTCCCACCCCAAAACCTGCTGGTTCCTGGTGAAACACTCCAATATCAGCTTTTCCCCTCATCACCACTGACATTGTTGAGCATCATCCAGAATTATCATTAGTCACCTTCTGAATACAGGCACCGTGATGTTAAGAAAGTACAAAAAGTAGGACCTGCCTGGGGGGTTGGTTGTGAATATGTCTATATAAAATGTACACCCCACATATTTAATACATATTTATTTAAACCATGTACATGTGGTTTACATATGTATTTTGCAAATATATAGTCATGGAGGATACGCTAGGTGTCAAAAAAGGTGGTATAAATACCAAGTGTTAACTTGGATTTAGATGCAGCTGGGGCACCGGAGAAAGTCTCAACGGAGACCTAATCTTTTAAAAAGGTGGGAACAGAGAGACATCTGGGTGTCATGTGACCCCTATGTGATGCAGCATGGAGAACACATTGCCTGGAATAGATTCTTGTCATAATTCTTAGTTTATCAAGGCCTTAGAACTAACTTCCAGGTTACGAGAAATAGAGGTTGGAGAAATAAGATCAGTGACACCATGAGCGCTGATCAGATGAAGCCATCATGCAGGCCATTCTGCAGAATGAGAGGCTAGGTTCCTTTCAAGCAGTCAGGGAAAGAAAAAAGCTCTTCTAGGCAAAAAGAGAAGTGAGGATACAGTCACCGCAAACACTGACTGTTGCTGGAGAAGATTCTGGTTTGGATAATCAGCTGCAAAGGCCATTTCTGAAACAAAGAGATGGAGGACTGCCAGGGTAGGAAAGGGCAAGGACAGGCCAAGGGCATGAGGAACAAGGAGCAGGAGTGGGCAGGGGGGTGGGGCAGGGAAGGCAGGGCAAAGAGGGTAGTTGGGGGCAGGGGATAGGACAGAACAAGAGCAATGCTAGGCAAGGCAGGGCAAGCGAGATGGTGGCAGCAGCAGCAGCCTCAGTGGCTGGTGATGGCAGCAGCAATTCTGCAGGCCCAGAAGCCTTGTGAAAAATCAGCCTCCTCACTGGGTCTTCAGGGTTGGGCAGCCTCAATCTTATCCCGAACTCCTGACTCCCACCCAACTCCTCCACAACAGCCAGCTCAGCTTGGGGTCTCTCCTCCTAGTCTTTCCCATCCTCTAGAAATAGAGAGCCTGGCCTTCATCTCACTGGCCGACATGTTCCTGAGTGCCTGGCTGCTCTGCTGTGTGGCCCCTGGACTCATTCTTGCTTCCATCGGGTCCTGCCACCTCCCTAGAGTGACCCTGGAGTCCTCCTCTCCCCACCAGCAGAGCCGCCAAAGTCCCGCTGGGGGCCACAACTCCTGCCAGCATAGCCACGTCTTTCCTCTTCTATCCCACCCACCTCATGGTCCTTTTATCTGCCTACTCCCTTCTTTCTTCTGCCACCTTCTTGCTCTTACCAGCCAGTAACCTTGACAATGACAGAATGTCTCTGTGCCTCAGTTTCCACAGCTATAACACAGGCATAACAACAGTACCTACTTCACTGAGGTATTGCGAGGATGAAGTCAATGCTAAGTTTGAATTGCTGAGCCCAGCACCCACACAAAGCACCCGCTAGGTGTCCACGGTCGTCACTACGCCCCTCCTCTGTGCCCTAAGCTTGCCAGAGCTCACGGGCAGAGCCTCCCCCAGTCCAAGACACCTGGTCAGTCTAAGGTTTAATGAATGACCCAGGGAGAGAAGTCCTGGAGACCATGAGCAGGAGCCCAAACTTGAGGAATGTACACGTCTTTCTATGTCCTGGGGTGGGAGGCATGGGGAGGGGAGTAATGCCTCCAGAACAGAAGCTCTGGAGTCTGCACTGGGTAATTTGGGCTGAAACATCACCTTGTTTATGGGACAAAGTTCTCATGAGCTTTATGACTCTGTGGAAAATACTTTGGAATATAAATTTCTATTTAGGAGTCATGACTGGTGCCTTTCCAGATGGCAAACAGCTTAAAGATGTGCTTCTAGCTCTGCCAGATTTATTTGTAAGGACACTAATTATCTCATTAGAAATAGGTTCCTCTTATGATTATGATTAGCTTGCTATTTTTTTTCTTAATTCTGGGAAAAGAACACACACGTATTTCATCCCTGGCCAACGGAAACCTTGAACTTTTCCAGAGCAGAAACACCCTAACCCAGTAAGCATTACTCCCAGTCACACTCTCCCTCCCAAAAGACATATAAAGGGTGAAATTGTGTTTAAAATCAGAGTGGGTTTCAATTCATTTTGTTCTGAGAATTTTGCAGCCCTCCCTGACATAGATACGAACAGCTATGGTGGAGCTTTAAGATATGGGCTGCATACAGGAAGATGCCTGGGCCCTGTGGAGGACTTCATAGTTGCGCTTGCCAGGGGAAATTTCATGTTCTGTCTTCAGGACAGGAAGAATGAATTTAATGCGGTTAAAGCCAAGGGAGGCTATAACAGTATTTCAAACACTCAAGTCAAATCTGAAGAAAAAGCTGTCTAAGTTGTCTGCGTTTCTGGACTCCAGGTTGAAGAGTGGGGTGACGGGGAGTAGAGGGGGCTAACTCAGCCCTGATCGCCAAACCATGATGGTAGAGGAACTGTAAATGGGTTTGTGAACGTTCCAGGTGTTCTTTCTTGGGGGTCTTAGGGCCCCTGACATGCTCAGGCAGTGGGGTCAAAGAGAAAACCTTCCTTTTGATGCCCTAGTTTTCCTAAGAGGGGAAGAAATTCCAAGTGGCCACTTGGGTATCCACTATCTCCAGCACCTCCCTATACACCTTCAACAACTAACCATCAGTTTCCTAGGGAGGAATGTAAAACTATGCACGGCCACAGAGAGCATCTATGGGCACCGAGGGGGATGAAAGGAGCCACTGTTGCCACAACCCAAGACAGGCAATGGGGTGTCCCTGCAGGAAACAGGGAGCCAAAGGTTCCTCCCTGGCCTCCCCTAACACTGGTAAGTCAGGCTATAAACATCTGTCCCAAGTTGGCCCCAAGCATGTACTGCGACTGGTGTTTTATGATGCATCTCAAACCAGACTGTGACAACCCCTGGCTTTGGGGAACTTTGCAGGTACCCATGGAGGACTTCCTTGTGTAGAGAGAAGTTACCCACCTTGCCACTAGGGCACAGAAGTAACCCTACATTAGTTGTATTAAAGACATGATATTCTAGAACTGCACTGACCAAGTGCACACTGACCAGTGACCCCAGCCACTAGCCACATAGAGTTATGTAAACTTAAATTAATGAAAGTTAAATGAATTTTAAAACTCAATTATTCAGCCGCAGTATCCACATTTCAAGTGCTTAGTAGCCGCAGGCAGCTGGTGGCCACCATACTAGACAACCCAGATACAGAACAAACACCTCCATCATCACGGGCACTTCTATTGGACAGCCCTGCTCTGGATGTATTCTTAACAAGCCAATCACCTTTCTTGTGTCATTCATGCATTCAACAAATGGTTATGGACCATTACACTATACAACGCCTGCTGCTACTATAATAACATGTCAACATTAGACAATGATACTTAGAGACTTGCATGCAAAATTAAGACCTGTCTGTGCTCTATCATGTTCTAAGGCTTTGGATGATTTAAAGTACATTCATTTAGAATTCAGAATGGTCTCATTCTCAGGATGCTTGCTGGCATTTCAAGGACTGCAAACAATGTAGAAGCCAAACTCTGTTCATGACTCTGCTAATGCTTGAGAGAAAACGGCTCAACAACAACACACGGTACTGTTGACGCCCCCTGCCAGGTTTTGCTGGGATTGACAAATTTGGTGTTACGTTTCACTTAGGAATCTTGCTGACTGGCAGCCCTCAGGATACGCACGTGCTGGCACGTTGGTCCCACTCCCCAAATTGCCTCCCAGATTTGACACACCCTGGTGACTCAACTTGCCTTCTCGTTAACCCAAAGCCCTTTCTTTGTTTGACACATTTTCCCACTGTGGGCAGACTTTCTGCCTTAGGAGAGCTGACATCAATAGTGCTATCCCATGCAGCAAACCACTAGAGACAGCACATTACTGGGGAGGGCGTACCGGGTGCTGGGAGACCTGGGAACAGTGTGTGTCTCAGTGAAGCTTACAGAAACCAGGCTGTTCAATTTATTTCTCTGCTGTTAATTTCAAGGTGCTGCTACTGCTACTTCAACTGTAATAGTGTCTACAAACAATTTGCACTTTGGAATGGCACAATCCCGGGGGTAATTAACAAATCCAGGGAACAATCTTTTTAAAAGCCTTTAAAAGCAACAGAGACTGAGGCCACCTTCCATGAAATAGAATCACTCCACTTTCTCGGTCATTTCAGAAGATACCTGGCTGACTCCTAGAGAGGTTTAGAGAGCACAGGCCCTGGGCTTTATGGAAAGTTCCTCAAGATGTGTTAATTAGAAATAAAATGCAGCATGGTTATCGGCTGCAGAGCTTTCTGAGTGAAGCAGGCTCTGAAGAGGGACTAAGATTTCAAGAGTTAGAAGCAAAGTTCACAAAGGGCCACCAAGGACTGTGAATTCCAAACATACCGTTCACCGTTCCAAGGTAGAAGACGGCGTTCACCAGCATGCCTCCTTTCCGGAAGTGGTCGCTCATGTGCTCTAACCAGTTGGCGTCCAAGCCGTTCACTGTCTGGCCATTCTTGGAGACACGGAGAGGAATGGTGACAGGGTAGTATTGCCGACACTTCTGATGGCTTTTCGGTTTGTTGAAAAGGGTGAAGATCTCCATTTCTGTTGGGATTTGTAAAGGCAGTGGAGAGAGAAGAGGTCAACTGATGATAAAAATCTGCTTCATCGGGTTTAGTGGAACCTCTCAGGAGCCTCAATAAATGATATGATGAACGCTGAAATCTCTGTGAGGCTGTATTGCTGCCAGATAATAAAGCCTCATTCCAAGTAGTAAGTTGAGGCTGGCTTAAAGTAACACGGACCTGAAAGGTTGGGCTTCTGATGGGGGACTTAGGTTTTTAATCTGGAATATAATGAATAGCTGTTATCTGGGATTACTGTGCACAGCTAGGTGTTTGAGAAAAGAACACAGCAGATGGTTCTAGAAAGTCATACAAAGATGTGTTTTAGAAATAAAAGCAGACATATTTGGGAGAGAGTGGTCTTTGAAAAAGTAAATGTACAGAGACACATAAAAACAAAAATACTGCTCTAATTCCAGGAACCTTGTACACTCCTGAACTCACTATTTATAAACTGCAGTAGTGTTTCCTGGGGCTGAACCCATAATACTTAATCAAGTACATCAAAAATACATCATTGATATGTAAAAATAAATATGTTCCCGTAAATGAGAGTTCCTGCCTGGAGTGGCAGGTCGGTCCAAACAGCCAAGAAGGCACTGGGGATGAGGCGCTGAGCTTTCGGTTCCTTCATTTATAGCTCAGTTCTTCAGCAATCAATAGTCACTGCCACCCAGCAGCTGAGCCGCGCCTGCCTACGTGCGGCTGGGCATGGGTTAGCAGTAGCAGCCTCCAGAGGCAAATACCTGGAATTTCAATCTAAGTCTGAGAGTCTATTTTTGTGCTCCTCATTTAGTCAAGCAATCAGTTGACCCAGCTTAAAAAGTCTTGCTTACACAGGCTAGTCAGGAATATGCTTTGGTTTCCAAAAATATCTTGTTAAATCATAAGAAAATCCCCACCCTTCTTTGAAACAAGAATTGAAAGGTCATAAACAATGGTTGACATTAGCAAGAAGGACAAAGCACATTCATGCTCCCTGCATGAGACACCTGAACCTACACTCTCTGATGCTGTTTCTCAAATTTCAATATCTCACAATGTTTTGTGGTATCCAAGTACTAGTTGATTCTTTTTAATGGACTCACTTTCCTTTATTTAAGCAAATACTTTTTTTTTTTTTAAAAAAAAGGAAACTTTGTTTCATGACTGTGACGGCAGTCCACTACCACTTGCCAAAAACAAGGGGTGACGATAAAGCACATTAACACCAAATATGTTCATCTAACATCTAAAATTATCTCATATAGGTCACAAAGTCTTCTCACAGCCCCATCTGAGCGAACACCAGCAGAGATCTCTAGGGACAATGCTGGGCCATATTACTTTGTCATCAGCAATACCTGAACAAACAGCAGTCATTTTAGGGTTTCCATCCAATAGAACAACTAGGAAAGGAAGGTGCCCATCTTTGGAAGTGGCACCTGGATTTTCAACACCAGTTCTAGCCTGTTCATCCTCCCATCCCAAGTTGCTTTTCTCAGCCCTCCTGCTTACTCAGGAAGCCATCCCCAGGCCGGAAGTACTTCCACACCAGAAATTAGGTATTGGTGTATGGAGCTGGCAATCACTAGACTAGTTTGTGAGTTCAAAACACAAACTGTAGAAATGGAGCGACACAGAGGAGGTTCGTAATGGAGGGAATCCAGCCATAAATTGGGGCTGGGGTGGGCAGGAGGTGAACTGGATGATCGGGTGTTTTCCAGTCCTGGGTGTCACGGGTTCAATTAAAAGCTGCAGCTACCGAGGGCAAGAGGATAAGCAAGGTTTTAGTGAGTTCCTGGGTTTATTTGGATTCCTTCTAAAGCAGCCCCTGCAAGCTTTCCTGTGCAAGTAGTTTATTTGGGAAGAGATCCCAGGAAAGAGGGAAGGAGTAGGAATGGAAAACAGGGAGGAGATGGAGATGATACCAGTGAATGAATGCACTGAAGAGCATGTTACCGCTGGGGCAACTAGGGCTCAATCCCAACAGGGGCCCTGAGATACTATGTAAAACACACCTCAGATTCACCCACCAAGGGCAAGGAATGTGGGACATTTATCCTCATAAACGGAAAGTCACTCCTGAATCATTCATTCCCCAGGGCCCATTCCCGAGAATGTCTGCAGGTAGAGAGGCTAAGGAAGCTGTGGGCTTGGCCAGAGCTGTCCAAAGGTGACCCCAACATGGGCCACAGCACCACTCGCTACAGCCTGCTACAGTCAAGCACAAATGCAAATGAATTAAGAGGAAGAAGAAAAAAAATCACAGCCTCTGTATGGGAGAAGTAGGTGGGGAATTTGGAAGTGGCCAAAGTCCAAAACTACATGGTAACACTTGATCACACAGAAGGAACTGGCACTCAATGGCAAGACAAAAACACAACTTTCCCAAATGCGTAATGAACCAGAAAAAGGGGAAGACCAAAGGAGAAGTGAGAATGCTGGGGGTGCAGTGGAGGAAGACAGAGACCCTCAGAAAAGGCAGACAGTGCTCACAGCTTTCCCGGCTTGATCCTCCCCAGGGGGCCAGACTGAAGCCAGAGACAGAAATAAATTTCTCAGGAAAAGGAAACAGCATTGGAATGAAGAGCCTCCAAAGCATCAGCAGCGATGAAATATTGGGAGAAACCTGATTGCATATGCGTAACCCTTGTACACTCCTCTGTCCCATCATCTCCTTGTCCCCAGTCCTTTCTCTACCCACATGGAAACCAGCCAAGAGAAACTGTCCAAAAGTGATGTCCTTTGATGTTTTAATATTCTCATTCTCTAACACACATCCTCACGTGAGCAAGCACCAAAGATTCCAAAAAGAAGCCCCATGTTTGTTTAAATTTTCTCAGCTGCTCTGTGACTCCGCCATGACCAGCTGGAAGATTTTTCCAGACATGGGACAGTGAGTCCCAAAGGGGTTGAGAACGTTCTGGGAGTAGCTGAAGGACTGCACTGGCAGAGCACCCAAGGAGCATCGGGGCTGTCTTCTCGTCTCTCCCTTTCCCCCACCTTGTCTCATTTAGATCCCTCCTGTTATACATATGTTCACTGTATTGACCTCTAAGCCAACCAGAGGAGAAAGCGAGGGCAGGTTAAAGGAGCGTGGGGCCCAAGGGTGGGGGTGGCTGAGTCCCGCCGGCCTGGGAGCCTGGTCCATTCAGGCCTTGCCAGGCTACTAGGGAGTGGGGAGGAAAGAGGCAGGTGTCCGGCCCTGAGGTCTGTGCCTGGGCATGGGGACTCAGGCACAGGATGGAAGGCTGCAGTTTGCCTTCAGGTGGGGCCCCAGAGAGCCCAGGTCTTGAGGGTAAGCAGGGGACTGGCTGGGCCCTGCTGTCCCAGGAGACCTGTGGTCTGGAGAGAAGAGTTTAGAGCCTAGCTGAAAATCTGGGGTTCCAAGGGCTAGATGTAGGAGGAGGCGGCAGCTGGTCGTTAGCTGCACTGGAACGAACAAGTGGCATCACTCTTGGCTGGGCAGCCCAAACTGGGTGGGGACTGCAGGCTGCTGAGGTCATGGGCAGAAGGGACTAAGCAGAAAGGTTTGCATTGGGAAGGGAGGCAGTGGGCACCATGGTAGCGAGGCAGGGCAGGAGGGTAGAAGGGCCCCAGGCTGCTCCATCCAGATGCCTAGATCTGGGCAATGCTGCTCAAGCTTCGCTCAGGCTTGGGTACTAAGAGCAGGGCACCTCTGGGCCAGCGTGAGGCCCACTTGCCAGGGCAGCAGGAAAGGCAAAGTGCAGGGACCGCTGCATGCACAACAATCCACGGGAATCCACCTCTAAGGATGACAGCAGCCACAGGCATGTATCCCTTATCTATAAGGACCTTTCACCTTCACCATCTCATGTGACTCTCCCAACCTTGATGGGAGGGGGTGGCACTGGTTCTGTGCCCAGAAGCGTTAAGTGGATCCCCCAGAAATCACAAGCCAGTAAGTGGCACAGCCAAGAGTCTTTCAAACCCCAAACCCTGGGCTCTTTCCCAAGTCTAACAAGAGACTAATTTCATCAGGACACAGAAGGCAGGGGCTGATGACCACGGGTGGAAGCTCAATAGCTGTTTGTTAATGGACTGAGTAAAAGGCCAGAGAGATGGCGGCAGGTGGCAGATCTGGGAGGGGGCCACATCATGGGGTCCAACTATCCCGAGGGGGTGGGGAGGGAAGGAGCCCTCACATCAGGAAAGCCCAACCCCCAGGTTTTGGCCATTCACAATGAGCTGGCAGCCAGGGAGGGCTACTGAATAAAATCCTCTCAGTCAGAAATGTGATTGGCATCACAGGCTGGGGTTTCTGGCTGACATTTCTAAGCATTTTAAGTGAGGAGGTGCAGGGTAGGAAGGGCAGTGCTTGGAAGACTTATTATTTTGGTGACAGTGAGAATGATTAGAATTTTCGTGAACCTGTCTAGCCTCCTGGTTTCTCTGATGGAAGTTGTGGCAACGTTTGATGCTGAGGCTGTCCCTGCACAGGCTCAGGTGATCATGGCACAGCATGGACCTTCAACCAAAAGGAAATTCCCCTAGACCAGGAAACAAAAGTCAGCAAGCAGGAAGAGGAACACACGACACACGGCGGGCCTCCCCTAGAACCTGCAGGGGCAAGGAGGCGTGACGGCTGCGCAGAGCCCGCAGAGATGGGGAGACACGACCTGCCCCTGCTTCCGCACAGAGAATCCACTGGAAAGTCCTGTCTGAGCAGGCACTGCCTAGATTCCTCTCCCCAAGGCCTCCTCTAAAGGAAATAAATTAACTGAGGAGACGGAGGGAAGAGGAGGGAGACTCCCTCTGGATTTTTTTTTAATTGTCTTGCTGTGATTGCCTATTTAAGCCCACCTGGCAGAAGAGGAGTAAAAACGCTTCAGCGTCCTTAGGGGGCCCGGAGAGAAGGCAAGCTGGGAGCTGAGCGGGCAGTGGGGAGGGCGCCTGGGGGCACTGTGTGCGCCTGTGGGGGAGTGATGGGGAGTGGACTTCCCGGGAGAGAGATGAGGAGAGAGGCCGGGGGTCAGGTGAGGGTCACAACCAGTGGGGACAGAGTCCCTGGACGTCCAGCCTTCAGGGAGGCCAAATGCTCAAGCTGTGATGAAGAAATTTAACTGTATGGGGGTATAAAAGGTGATGCTCCCTATTTGTAAAATGGACATAGTAATAGCATCTTCTGCCATAAAGCTTTTGTGAGGAGTAACTGAGATAACACGAGGACGACACAGAATAGTGCACGTGGAGGGTGACTGCCATCATGACCAGTGAAAGGCTTATATGTGAAATGATCCCTGTATGAAAAACCCAAAGGCTCATTTATTCCACCAAAGGAGGAGAAAGGGATACAGTGAGCTGCCTGAATTTCAGATTTGCAGCCGGAGCAGAGATAAAGGGACTGCTCTATGTGTAGAGACAGGCAGTGTCTACCTGCCTAGGGAGACTGGGCTCGAAGGAGGCTTTAATCCCTTTTCCCGGCCTACCCCTGCAGAGCTGAAATTCTCATCCACTGGTGGGCTGAACACCTCCGGAAACACACGCATTCACCCCTTCCTCCCCGGCAGGGTCTGTTTCTCCAGGAGAGAACAGGGACTTGGGTGATGGGATAGGAGCCAAAAGGCTTTGGGTGTCAATTTTTCTGTGTGTTCAGCCATCAGGCGAGATTCTGGGTGAGGGAGGTGAGTGGCCACAGGGTAGCAGGAAGGTCCTGGGCACCTGGGGAGGTTCCAGTGAATAATCCTCACAGAAGGCAGGAAGTCTGGAAGGAGTCTCGGAGGAAGGTGGGCTCTGGAACACAGGAAGGATCTGAAAACTCCTGAGGAAACCTCAGTAGTAAATGCCTCCTTTCTCAAAGCCAAGATTCCATGAGAGGTAGAGGTCAAGCATCAGGACTACGAGCCTGTACCCCAATAATGGCAGCTCATACTCATGAGTCAAACAGTGCTGAGTGCTTTAAATGTACATCTTTAACCTTTCCATGAGAAACTATCGTTCTATCCCTATTTCACAGAGTGAGAAACTGAGGCACGGAAGGCAGGCTAGAATGTAAACAGATGCTAGATTCTTGAGCACCATGCTCCCCACCTCTTCATCACTCCTGCCCTTTCTCCTGGGGGCCTCTGCCTGGCCTGACCGTCGCCCTCTCACAGTCCTGGACTTAGAGAAGGATTCCAATGAGGTCCATCTTCCCGCCCAGGATTCAGAGCACACACATCCAGCCCAACCTCCATGAGAAGATGGAGGTTTCTGGACTAAGACCTGGGTGTTCATGAGGAGGACACACTGAGCTTAAATGCATGTTCAGCTACTCCATGAGGGCAGCAGGCATCTGCCTCAAACAGCGAAAAATCACACAAATAAAGGGCTCTACTTCAGTGCGTAGTAAGAAGGCTCAATGCCTTGATTAAACAGTCTTACTGTATCACAGCACTGAGGCAGCTCCAATAGCTCCCTCTAAGTCAACTTTGCTAATAAGCCCCTGGAATTAACCGTCCCATAATTTTCATCTCAAGAAGTTCTGATGTAACAAAATAAATTGTTTCTCCTTGTTTTTCCTTCTCAAAGCATCACCTGTTCATTATCACTTGTAAGAGGCTAATTTCAAGAATTAGTAAGTAAATGATAATAACAATATTAACCAGGGAGATCAGCCAGAAAGGCCTAAACAGAAAGCCGTCCTAAGCCCTGGGGGTCTTCTGTCAGTCTTCATACTTGTTCGCCTTCCAAAGGCTAGAAGGGGCCACATGGCTCATGCCAGTACCTTGCTCTCAGGAAATGACTGGATGCTAGATTTCCTGGAGAAAGGGGGGAAGTATGGATGGTCGATTTCTGGAAGAAAGTAGAGAAAAAGGAAATACAGAGAAACGGAGGGAAACTTTGCTCCCTGTAAATCTTGTTAAGGGCCTCAGTAAATCTTGTAAGTCTATCACACAGGATGTAAGTCTATCACACAGGAAAGAAGGGATGGTGGGTAAGTCCACCTGGATTCACAGGCCCGAACTGCCTATTTCCAGACTGGGCAACAGATTTCCTCTCTAAACCCCAGTTTGCTCAGCTGTAAAATGTCTTGCTTTAGGCAGGTATTTTAACAAGTGGTGTGTAGGTTTTCATTGGTGCCTGGCAGGCTGACACTTCCTGTGTGAAAGCTGGATAATTCAAGGCAATTTCGAGAGCACAGGAGATAAAAGAACTCAGTCTAGAATCCACTTCAAACGCGACATTTTGGAGCAAACTGTAAGTCAATTTCATGTGGTTCTGTACTCCCCAGAAGTCACAACTTCAATAAGTAAACAGTCAGGTGGCACAGATAACTGCTTGATAAAGTTTCTCCTGTTTGATGGACTGCTGTCTCTACACTCTAATTCCATTCCTTTTTCTCTGAGATACCATGGGGGATTAATGAAAAGCTGTTAACTGCTCTTTAAGCGGGTCAAAACTCCCAGTGCTGACATACTTACTCCCTGAGAGTGGCTCTTCATGCACCTCCAAGGGGTCGCTCTCCAGTCCATCCAGTGTCTTGCTCACCCCCCGTGGTGAAAGTTCTCCACCATCTCCCTCTCCGGAGGGTGAGCTGGGCTGCTCGGCGATGGGCACCTCCCCTCTGGGGCCTGAGCTGGGCTCTGGGCTTTGGTTTCCCCCAGCCAGAGCACCGCACATGTCCCCAGTCCCCGGCTTCTCATTCTCCAGTGACGCGTGATCCCCACGTGCGATTTTTGCATCTCTGGCATCCTCGGTGCTGTTGGCAGTAGACACTGGAGTGCTGCTGCCTGCTGAATTCACAGGGGAATGGTACTGAGGTATAACACCAACGAATTTCAGGCCCTGGCTTGCAGCCTCCTGGATCTGTGAGGCAAACAAAAGGAAGGGAACCAAGTGAATGCAATGGTCTATCAAAGGGACATGTGCAGCGTGCAAAGCGCCTCCCCTAGGCCTGCGAGGCTATTTCAGGGGCACAGGAAGATTTCCAAGCTGGCAGGAGCCCCATGTCCTCAGGGGCACCTGCCCCCACACCCTAGTCTGAAGACGGTTTTTTTGTTTGTTTGTTTAACTATGTTGTCTGATGGACAGATAAAGCATTTGGCTTTGAAGGGTTGAAATCACCACTTTGAAACACTGCATTCATCCTTATTAACATTTTTTAAAGAGACTGGAAAAAGTTCTAAACAAAGAGTTTGAAAGAGGAAGTTCGTTTTGTTAAGAGTTTGGTTTTTTTTTGGTTACTTTTTTTCGGATGAATCACTGACTTCCTGCTCATCAGACTACTGTATAACTACAGCTTGTCTGTATAACCATATGCAAACAACAGATGGCATTTTATGGCCCAAAGAGCTTCCTTTTTGGACAATAGTTTTGGCAGAGAAGGGCAGAGGTGGGAAAATCACCCCTGTGCCAAGGCTGTGGGCACAACCTCCCTGAGATGTACCATCTGATGGGCACCTTGCTCCCTGGTGCTCTCAGGCCTAGGGAAGGTCAACGGAGCCCACAGATCATGCCCAGCCTACAGCCACAGACTGACTCTTGGCTCTCCAAGTCCTGGTCCACACCATCTAGCAGCGAGGTGATGGTTCCTTCTCACTCCCTGTACCAATGGGATGGGGGATGAACACCCACCTGGAGTTCCGAGGTACTTGAACTCTCCTTTTCCCTAAAACATAGCCCAAGGCAACTGGATTGAGTATAAGTCATAAGTTTGAAAGAAAAATGGAAAATAATAACCTAATAAAATAAAGCAAGAGCCAGCCAAAGCCAGAAGGTAGACTTTAGGGGACTTTCCAGGCAAGGATGCGTAAGTCATTTTACAAATAAATAAGGCGGTGCAGACCTCAGCGCTGTCTAAGTCTTAGTCACCAAGCCCTAAGCAGATGACCTCAGAAAATCTTGAGGCCTCTGCAGTGATAATCTGCCCTCATTTGAGAGTCAGTTTTGCCAGCATGGAGCTATTCTCTCTAAAGGAGAAGCAGCCCTGACAGCTCTCCTCGGAAGAACCACCCTGACATTCAATGGAAAGTCGTTTTTGTTCCACACTGCACAACCTGGAAAACTGCAGTTGCAAATGTGCAGTCCGGTCTTTCTTTAAATCCTAGCCTGTGCTAGACATAAAATAACAATAGTAGTAATTACTGTCTATGGTATAGACCTACTATGTCTAGACATTGAGCTAGGCATTTTACGTAAGTTAAAACAACAAACCGTTTCATCCTTCAGTGACGCTGCCTGGTATCACCGTCTCCATTTCAGATGAGGACACTGGGGCCCAGAGACATTAAAGTCATAAAACAAGCAGTGAGTGCAAAGCCAGAGTGCAAAACCAGGTCTGGACTGGGCCGAAGTTCATTCTTTTAATCACAACTCAGTGGACACACGTCAAGGCATCAACTACATACATGTCTGCAGGCATGTATGTGTCCACTCATATACTCAGAGTTGGCTCGATTCACTCTTCAAAAGTTAAAAAACAAAACACAAAAAAACCTTAAAGCCATCCATTCCATTCTGAAACTTTCTTTTTTCCCTCATTAATCTATGATATCCACCTATTTTAAAAATTATTCTATAAAGCTCCTAAAAGAAGGCACAGCAACACAAATTTTAAAAGAAAATAGCGGGGAAATAATTATACCAAAGAACTTTGGAGGCTGAGGAAAGCCACTGTATGCAAAGCATACTTCTGAGCTTTCTGGCAACATACGCCAAAAGAGAAAGGCAATGGGTTTTACGGCCCTCGAATGAAATGAGGAGACACCTGCACTAGCTTCTGCTACTACTCTCTTACTGCAGAGGAAACAGCTATGACTACTGAAGCATTTTAATAACTGCTTCCATGGAGGGCTCAACCATAGGCCAGTCTCAACCAGAGTCATGGAAATAGCATGAAGTTTAAAGGCTTTTGGAAAGGCCTGACGTGGAGCCCCAGATATGTGACTCACTGTCTTGGGGAACCAGAGTAGATTATATAAACTTTCTGTGCCTCAGTTTTCTCATGTATAAAATGAGTGAAAACACACATTTTTTAGTTGCACTGAAGCTTAGTTTAGACATTACATATGGCAAGTGCGCCAAAGGATGGCGCACAAAGACAGTATCTCTAACCTCTCTCCTTATCAGTCCTCAGCTTCTGCGGCCCTGCAGAGACCGCTGTCATCTAGAGTGAAGGGGCGAGGACTCCAGACACAGGACATCATCCCAGCTCTCCCCTTTCTCACTGGGACTGGAGGAATTGGAGAGGCTTGGACACAGACATCTGCCCTTCTCTCACAACAAACCAGACAACCATATTCCTTTGCCATATTGTACTGCAAATTTATCCTCTAGGCCAGGGGTTCTCAAAGTGTGGTCCCCAGACCAGAGCATCAGCATCCCCTGGAAACCCGTTGGAAATGCAAATTCTCAGGCCCCACCACAGACCTATTCAGTCAGAAACTCTGAGGGTGGTATCCAGCAATCTGTGTCTTAAGAAGTCCTCCAAGTGATTCCAGTGCAGCCTGATGTTTGAGAATCACTGCTCTAGAATACACATTTCATGAGGGCCGGGGTATTTTGCACTGCTGCATCCCCAGTAATAGAACGATGTCTGACATATAGCAGATCCTCAAGAAATATCTGTTGAATGAATGATTCTCTCTTGAAATGAGCTCCTGGAAGGTACGGATGGAGCCATTAATTTTCCAGCTGTAGAATTCAACAAATATTTATTAAGCCCCTACACTGGCCCAGACCAACATGGTGCTTAGGTACCAGGAATGTAAAATAGGATCCCCAATCCTCAAGAAGATTTGGCCAATTATTGTGAACAGACTTTAAAAATAATTACAATATCATAGAACAATTAATGCTTATAATGACTTGTAAAAAGTCAAGATTCTAAACTTCATAGACTTTATTATGACAACTATGTAATACACATACATAAACTGTGCATAAAAACCATCATCAAAATGAAAATAGCACTGTATTTGGGGAGTGGGGCTATGAGTGATTTTTTTTCTATTACTGTGTAATTTTCAAATTTACCTAAGGGGCATGAATGTTACTTTTAGAATTGAAAAAGTAAATACTGTAAAAATTCCTCATGGAGGATAATATAGTAATGGATGTGAAGATGTAGAAATGACAGTGACAATGGTGATTATTTCTGCCTGAAGGGGAGGTTGAGAAAAGTCTCTCAGAGTGGATCAGCGATGTAACAAATGACATGTTGTAACACAAAAGGAAGAGTAAGAAATGTGGCAGAACTGGAGCAAGTATGCCTCACCTTAAAGTATTCAAATCCAATTTTTTTTCCAAAATGCCATGCTAGACAAAACCTATTTGGGATCTACTCTGCCGAAGGCTTTGAAGGATGAATAAGAGTTCACCAGATATGTAAAGGGAAAGGAGACGGCAATCCATGTAAAGGCAAGGAAGGATCATGATGGGCAAAAGCTTGACAGTATGCAACACCCTGGTGTGTTGAGGAAATTTCTAGAAATATTTCTGGAACATGACATGAGAAATCAAGAGGAGCCCCAGAAATGAGGCTTGACTAGACATAACAAGAACTGGATCACATATGGCCTTGGATCCATGCCCACAAAGGCTCTGAGTTCACCCTGCAGGCCAGCATATCCGACTCTCCCCCGCCCAGTCATAACCTCAAGAGCAGAGGAGAGTGGGAGTCTGAGGAAAACTGCAAGATTTCTTTGAATGCTCATCTTTTACCTTCAACTTCAGTGCAAATTTTGTATCTTATACCATAGTGCTGCCTAGGATCCAAACTTTAAAAACATCAAAGTTAAATGCTGCCTTCATCCTATGCGTTCCAGGGAAATTCACACCCCCAAGAAGAGGAAGCATATTTGTAGCTCTGCTTACTTCTTTTGAATAGATTCCTGGAAGTAGAATTAATGACTGAAGGGATATTAACTTTTCAAAGGCTTGGTAGAGGCTGCCAAATTGTTTACCAGGAAGGGTGAGCAGTCCTTTTTAACTAGACGACCACATTTGGATTTTATGAAGATCAGTATTTGGCTAGACCTAGGGGCCCCGACTCTTATGGTTCTGTCTTACCCTAGTATAGACACTTTCCTCTTTTTCAGAAAGTCATTTGACTGTGTACTTATGGCTAAATTAAATCCTGCTTCTCATTCTTGCATGAGTAACCTTCACTGAGCCAGTCTCACGTTCATCATGGTGGTGGGCATGTGATGTATTCTTCAGGGTTCATCCCCGGCTACCAGCTCTCCTCCACTCTACACTCCCCTTGGTGACTTCCTCCACTCACATGGGTTTAGCTACAAATCAGATGTTCATTATTCCTAAGTGTGAACCCCTAGCCCTGGCTTTCCTTGGAAGATCAGACCTACATAGCAGACAATCACAGCTGACGGGTCCACTGTCGATCTGGTCTCTCCAGCTGGAATCACAGTATCTTCTTCCCTGTTTCTAATCCAGTGTATCTGTTCACCACACCCTACCACAGTTGTCCCCCAGTGTTTCTGGAATTACTTCCTCATTCTCCATAAAGTGACCTTCCAAGGTCTTCATGAGCATGGAACCAAATCAACATGGAAGAAGAGATCATGAGGAGCCAGGTCACCTCAGCCACAGAGCTCCCCACGGACTCCCACGCATGCCCACAACATCTCTAACAACAGCGATTACAGGAAACAGCAACTATTAACATTGCACAACTCTTCTACAGAGAACTTTCACATGTATTCCCTTAGGCCTCAAAATCATACCTTACAGAAGAGGAAACTGCTTAAGACATTCTGTGACTGGTCAAACCTCACAGAGCTACCCAAAGCCATGCCTGGCTTTCACTCGGAGTATCCTAAGCCCAACCTGATACCACTTCAATGATA